AGGTGTGTATATGTATTTTAACGTGTTAAAACATGCACACGTTCTCATCGTGTAGATGTGCTTTTTATATCGGGTAAAAGATTACCTTTTGTTTAAGCTACACATTTGAAGCATCTTCTAATATAGCGGTCAAAACCCGTATATGAATTTATTCTATTCTACGAACACTCTAACCACCATCTCACATGCACTTTGTCATGCCAGGCATTACGTTCCCGGCCGGCGCGATGCAGAAGCAGCTGTTGCAGGAAGTCTATGGTGAGGCGGGAGTTGACCCTGCGAAGGTCGCATACGTAGAAGCTCACGGCACCGGCACTAAGGTCGGCGATCCACAGGAGCTCAACGCTGTCACCGACGTCTTCTGCAAGGCTCGCCAGGGGGCGCTGCCGATCGGCTCGGTGAAGTCCAACATGGGGCACGCCGAGCCTGCTTCAGGTATGCACATGAAGATACGACTATATACATCTAGTATAGATAGGCTCGTCGTCGTATACGCGATAACGATGAGGCAGACTACAGAATGGTTTCTATGATGATCGGGGATAAATCGCAAAAGGACGTTATTGTTATTGTTATTGTTATTGTTATTGTTATTGTTATTGTTATTGTGCAGAGCCTGTTGCTGCACGGCATACTATAATGTAATTGTTACAGTTACTCAATATCTGAGAGGTTGACTATCGATTAAGTTATATAGTGAAGCATGTACTAGTTCGAAAGGAAAAATGGTACAGGTTTTTAGAGCAAGTCCTATACATTGTGTAACTGTTTTGTTAAAAGGTCTTGCTGCAATGGCAAAGGTAATACTAGCAATGGAGGAGGGAGCTGTTCCTGGAAACCTGCATTACAATGAGCCAAATCCAGACATTCCCGGCCTGATTAATGGGAAGCTCCAAGTTGTGACTAGCTCTATGCCACTTCCCAGGGGCAGCTTTATTGGCATTAATTCATTCGGGTTTGGTGGTGCCAATGTCCATGTGATTCTAAAGGGTCCAAACAATGTGAGGTAAGTACTGTTAAAATATATACATATATATTCATCTACACGTCAACCATTCAACCCAGTTGTTGTCTCATTACTAAGAGATATTTTATGATATAGTTATAATACAATGTACGTGTGTGAGTGGGCATTCACATACGCGCATGATGCATTGTTTTTGTTCTATGGTTAGTGTGTACGCATCATCATGTTTAGACCACAAATAATGACCGATGAGGGGCAGCTAGTCACGGTAGCAGGAAGGACACCAGAGGGCGTTGAAGGCATACTGAGAGCAGCCGAGGAAAACTCACATAACGCAGAGTTTCTCGCGTTGCTGGATCGTGTATATGCCAGTCCCACCAGTCTGCATCCGTACAGAGGTTACACGGTGCTTAACACTAGCAAGCAAAGCACCGATGTGCAGGTACGCTTCACTCCATAGCCGAGTTTTAGTCATTGTTATTAAATGAATGCCAGTTTAGAAGTACATGGGTAAAGGTTGGTGATGTTCAATATGAAACAAATTAACAATTAGTTACGTGTGATTCCTCAATCTTCTCATCTACCATGTGCAGTAGCATTTTACATGTTTTGAACCATTTCATTCCAAATTAAGTTTAGATCTTACATTTCGGTATGATTGTTGTTCTGTGCCTTAATTTATTCATCTGTGTTCATTAGTGTGTGGCACTTGTCTCCACTTGTGTGGCACATGTTTCATTGATGCATGGATGACTTTTGTATCTATGTAACACTTGTCTCTCAATGTGTTTGTGTGACACCTGTGTCTAGCTAGCATGTGGGTGACACTTGTCTCTAAGTTGACACGTGTTGTGACGCTTGATGCATTTGTGGCATTTGTCTCTTGCTGATATGTGTGTGACACCTGCCGGTGCACTGACGCATGTTGTGACACTTGTCTGTACATTGACGCATGTTGTGACACTTTTCTGTGTGTTGATGCCTGTATGATAATTATTTCTCTTGTCATGCAGCGTGTCAGCAGTGAGGCTCGTCCCGTTTGGTTCGTCTGCTCTGGCATGGGCGTGCAGTGGCCGGGCATGGCGCGCGACATGATGCGCGTGCCCGCCTTCAAGCAGACAATGCTGCGGCTAGCTGACACGCTCACGGCTCACGGGGTCGACCTCTGTGACATCATAGCGTCAGGCGAGGAGAAGATGCTGGAGAGCACACCTGTTGCCTTCGCCGCAATAGCCGCCGCACAGGTGAGCGTGCGTGACCGCGTACGACATGCTGATGATAACGGTGACAATATGACATTGAGTTAAGAGTTATATTCCATAAGAAAAATTACGTCACAGTGCAGCTACTGCAAGTTTTGAGAGAATGAGAAAATTCTGAAAAGCACCCCACAGGCAAGCGCCGATGTATATGAAATGTATGTTTGCAAATAATATATTAATGAATAATTCAGCATAATAAGTTCAGTTTACGTTATGCACGATAGCGGTTTTTTGGTAAAGCCCACGAAGTCGATAAAACGTATTATGAAAGGTTGGGATTTCGAGTTACAAACTCGTCCTTGAACACAGGTGGCGCTGATTGATGTTTTGCGCTCTCTCGGCATCTATGGCGATGGTTTCATCGGTCACTCGGTCGGTGAGTTGGCCTGTGCCTATGCAGATGGATGCCTGACTGCAGAACAGACCGTACTCTGTGCCTACTGGAGAGGAAAGTGCGTGAGCGAAGCCAAGCTACCGGCTGGCAAGATGGCTGCCATCGGTAAGTAACGTGATAAGTCCTCCGAATATAGTTGTACTGTGTTTCTGTTATCCTTATATCATGTATTTATTAATTATTTATTTAACAATTAAGTGTTTCTGGTGGATCGTTTTCTGGTTAACCACATTACTGTATCTTCCTTGTTTGTTGTTCCTTGAAGAACTCTTATTGAGTGGTAGTGAGTTTTTCTGTCTAACTGTCATATATTGAAGTATATTATTAACTGTAGTTGGAATTACCATCGGAGTCTCTTACAAATGAAATGCACACTTTATAATATCATAAACATGCATGAAAACACACAGAGGCAGAGGCACACATGCACACATATACTATAAGATATATATATACATATATACGTACGTATTCACGTGCGTGTGTGTAGGCTTAACGTGGGAGGAGACGAGGCGTCGCTGTCCGGCTGACATTGTCGCCGCATGTCACAACTCTCGCGACAGTGTCACCATCTCAGGACCGGCTGCGAGCGTTGACGTCTTCATGGCTGAGCTGCGAGCAGACGACGTGTTCGTGAGAGAGGTGGCGAGCTCAGGCGTTGCCTTCCACTCTCACCAGATGGCGCAGGTCGCTCCCAAACTGAAAGCTGCACTCGTTAATGTACGAAGACAGACCACGTTTTCCTCCAAAGTCACGAGTCTAGCACGTTTAACGTCTGCTTTTATTCAGCGTTTGTTATTAATGTTCTATTGTGCATTGAATCGGTTAATTGTCAGTGTTCAGCGTAAATGATTATTTTTAATTTTGTTCTTGATTAAATATTTTTTAATTATTAAATTGATGTTAACATTTATATTATCTAAACGGTTAAACTTAAATTAATTATAACAAGTTATATAAGTGTGCAAAACAGAAATCTGTATAAGTTATAGGTATCACGTAAAAATATTTCTTCTTGTGCGTGCGATGTCTGATATTGAGTATGCCTCGTATGCGCTGTCTTTTGTCTCGTGAGGGTGGCTGCATATCTCGCTGTGACGTGTGCCATGCTTACCGTATAGGTGATCAAACATCCCAAGCGAAGGACTGCAAAGTGGATCAGTACATCTATTCCAGAGAGCAGGTGGGATTCAGCCCTGGCCCAGCTGTCGTCTGCTGATTACCACGTCAACAACCTAGTAGGTGCATGCGTGCGGGTGTTGTCACCCATACGTATATTCTACTTCAAATCTATGCAATACTCACAGCATAATTATAATGTAATATAATGATTCCTTGCGCAGTACATTTCTATTGCTCGGATGCATCCTTTCCCGCTGATTTATTCGTCGCGAAGGCGGTACATCGATCACGGCTACAATCTCGTTTACTATTGCAGGTGAGCCCAGTACTGTTTCAGGAGGGACTGACTCATGTGCCGGACAACGCGATCGTGATTGAGGTTGCCTCGCACTGCTTACTACAGGCCATATTGAGACGGTCCCTTAACGATGGGACGACGATCATTGGTCTGCAGAATCGCAGGGAGGAAGACAACATCAGGTTCTTCCTGGCCAGCATTGGAAAGTAAGATTCTTTTATTGGAAATATTATATGATAAATAATACATGTAGTATACTGATATAAAAAGAGCACACAATTATTCTCAAAATATTATATGATATATATAATACGTGTAGTATATTGATATAAAGTGACCACTTCTTACTGTAAATATTCATTAAATTAAGGAAGTTGCGTGTGGTTACTCAGCATGCTGAAGTAGGAAGCCAGAACTGCAGCATCACGTATCGGATCTCTCCTGTTTTGAGTGATGCGCTGCTTTGTATGGACAGGTGTTACGTGAGTGGAGTCAACCCGGCGACATGCAAGCTGCGGCCGTCGGCACCGCACTTCCCCGTGTTGCAGGGAACAGCGATGCTGGGTCCTCTCATCTCGTGGGATCACTCACAGACGTGGGCCGTGCCCACACAGGATGAGTTCATCGTGTGAGTATCGCCGCGACGACTGTCACAAGACTTCGTGACAATGTCGACGTGGTGGTCGATGTGGGTGACATGTATGATGTGGCAGGTCTCACAGATGTGTCATGTCTCGTGACCTTAGGTGTATATGTTGTGACCTTCGTAGTACATTAGGTGACATTTGTGATTGTTTGATGACCTATATGTACCATAGCTAGTAAGCATGGTGGCAGATCCCGTTACCTCTAGGCACGGCGTGCTAAATTTCTCCGATCTCATTCCAGCACCAACGGCATGGGCGAATGTAAGTTTGAGATTGACCTCTCGGCGACCTCACCTGATCTCTACTTGCTGGGTCACGCAATCGATGGGAGGGTGTTGTTCCCGGCGACCGGTTACCTGGTGCTGGTGTGGCGCGCGCTCGCCAAGATGCGACGACAGTCGTACGAGAGCATGGCCGTGGAGTTCAATGACATCGACATCCAGAGGGCGACAGTGATACACGCCGACGGTAGGTGGCGCATCAATTGTCACTCGTAAGTTTATGGGAGTCTGGCTATCTCTTTTTGGTTTGTGGTTACTATTTGATACTGTGTGGGTGTGTGCGTGCGACCGTGTGTGCCTGTGACCGTGTGTGTGTGTGTGTGTGTGTGTGTGTGTGTGTGTGTGTGTGTGTGTGTGTGCGTGCGTGTGGGTGGGTGGGTGTGGGCGTGAATCCATGTGTGTCTGTGTATCCATTGGTATGTGTGGGTAGCAGTCAGTTTTGTCATTCAGTACTGCACTTTTCCTTATTTGTGTTCAGGGCCATATAGCTTGCAGGAGGGGGGACAAGGGGGCAGCTGGCCCCGCTAGATTTTGGAGCAAAAAAAACAAAACTGTTCTAGTAAAAGAGAATTGTCGTAGTCTGAATGAATGCCTCAAATACCATTTCCTGCGATCTGCATTTTCAAAATTCTGTGGGAGGACCCCTAGAACCCCCACCTGTTTCTCACCCCTTCCTTGAAATCCTGGAGCCGCCACTGCCCCCTCTAGGAATTTGCTCAGCCTACTGCCTTGGTGTTTATATAGAGGTTGTGCCTCTTAGTGACATGTTTTGATGAGTGGAATCGTGGTTCCTTGTAGAGAAGGGCAGAAATGCTTCTGGGTTTACAGTGATACAGTACAGTGTGATCTTGCACATATATAACACCGTTATATGCGTTATTGTTTGTGAAGGTTTGCTAAGTCAAAGCCATAGATAAGAGAAAGCCAGATGTTATACCATGATTAGACGTTTAATGCGGATTTAGTCGGTTACAACTGTTGTCCTGGCCGTGACCGTTTGTGCCTGGTTGTGAAGCAGATCTCCTCGACTCTTCCCGGCTCCCGGCTTTTATACCCACAGGCACGACCGCGACCCACGCATGCGCCGTACACACTACCGTGACATTTGCAGTGGATATTATTGTGTTATAGCTTGGCGCCTCAGATGCGGACAGTCCAGTTAATTTTATAACAGAGTTAATTTCATTACAGAGTTAATTTCATTACAGAGAAACACGGATACTCTTGTTAGTTCTATTACAGAGAAACACGGACACTCTAGCTAATTCTATTACAGAGTCCCTCAGTGGATCCGCTCAAGTCAAAGGTGCCGGCTAATCACCTTTCGACGCCCATCTCGCACGACCGCCGTTGGGAGTCCTGGCACATACACGCCGACTCAATAGCCTCCACTGTGTCAGGATGCCGACTCAATAGAGCCAGAATGCCGACACAGCGCTCCCACGGCGCATTTGCTCGACTTCCAACAAAGTGGTAGCGCTGGTGGGACGAGATAGTGGCTCTTGTGACTGTAACTCAATTACAGAATGCAGACTCAATAAAGCCAGAAACTGCATCTCAATTACAGAATGCCGACTCAATAAAGCCGGAATGTCGACATAGCACTCCCACGGCGCATTTGCGCGACTTATTGCAGTCGTTGCGCCGGTGGGATATAGTTATACACAGCTATAGTGTAGATATACATAGATACACATACAGATATACATAGATATAGATAAAACTCTGTTACATTTCTCCCCCCACTAAGCCGATATGCACTTGTGAACATCGATCACCAGCCTCCCGGCTGGCCGTTCGTGGGGAAGGCCGTGCAAGTCATGGTATTTTTGTAGCCGAACTTGTTTACATGAATGTTTAGATATGGATAGAACCACCAAATGGCGATCTTGATAAAATAACGCGACCATCGATACGATTAGTGCATAATAGATCATATAGAACAATAATACATTATAATCTACTGGTGTGGGTGGGGCTCGACCACACTCCGTACAAGACTACTAGTGAATATATGTGTCCTTAAGGGACCGAGTTGGCTGGGCGTGCTAGCCACACTGGCTGCATGCGTGTCGTCGTGGGGAGGCAACGAAAGAGGCCCTGTGTGAACCAGCGTCGAGTGAAGCATTGGTCGTCGGGCTGGGCCGTCTCGACACGTAAGCACGGTTCTAGGCGCATCCCATGCCGAGAATAGGTATGCGGGAGTGCGCGTGTGGCCTTGCGCCTTAATGCAAAGTCGCAGTGGAGATAGTTTCTCGACTACGGTATAGTAAGGCTGCCACTGTGAAGCGAATTTCGGCGTCTGGTTAGCCAACAACGTGGGGTTAAAAAATAGACGGGGTCTCCTATGTCAAAGGATTGAATTTTGGCGCGCCTGTCATAAAGGTGTTTATTACGCGCACGTGCCACTTTAGTATTTTGCTGCATCGCAACGAATGCCTGGTGCAAGCGTTCAGTAGCGTGAGTTACTGGGTCGTCACCATATGACAATCGTCGGGGCTGCAGTAGCGTGTCCGGTGTATGATCCCCATTAATATAGCACGCGAGCATGTTGGCAAGCGTGCGATGAAAGCATTTGCATTGCCTGTTCGACTCAGGGTGGTAGGGAGAGACCTTAATGTGGGTGATCCCGAGCAATGTGGTCAATTGTGTCAATTGTGTCATGTGTCAATGAATTTACCTCCATTATCAGTTAAGATGGATCGAGGGCACGAGTGACGAGGGACGAAATCGTCCACAATAATGCGTGCTACGGTAGCAGCACTTTTACCGGGCATGGGATAAGCTTCGGGCAATGAGGTACAAAGATCCAGAAACGTGAGCATGTAACGATTACCTGGATTTGAGCAGTGGTGTGGACCCGTAACATCGATGGCGACCACATCTCCTGAGTGTCTGGGCGCTGGCGCATGGTGTAGGGGGGCATGGACTCGCTGTAGTTTTCGACAATTACATACGACGCATGATTTAATGTAGTGGTAAGCGTCGGCGAACATGCGGGGCCAGAAATACCGCTGGGAGAGTTTACTATAGACTTTCTTGAAACCAAGATGGCCACCATACGCATGATCATGGAACAAAGGAAGCACAGCAGGTACAAGAATGCGGGGGATGGCTAATTGGGGTGCAGCGTCAGCATGCTGCGTGCGAGACACCACATAAAAAAGCAAGTCGTCAACAAGGAGATAGCTTTCAAGGAGCTTAGCTTCGCGTATGGAACTTTCGTCGTGGTTGGAGAGTGTGCGTATATTATGGCAAAGGAGCAGATCAGCCTGCTGCAAGGCAGCGAGCTCAGCGTCAGTAGCGGGGATGGTAGGAGAAGGTGTCGGGGTAGGGTGTGGTCGTGCGTTAGGGTGAGGAGGGTCGTGATGAAGCGTAATGGGACCTACTCGGCGTGAGGGTTGTGAGGCCTCAGCGTCGGGCGAAGGCAGTACCACTTGGTGTATGGATTGTGAGGCCATACCGGCGTGAGGGTTGTGAGGCCTCAGCGTCGGGCGAAGGCAGTACCACTTGGTGTATGGATTGTGAGGCCATACCGCCGAACGGTGATAAGGTGGTGGGCACGATTGATAAGTCATGAGGTGACATTGGCGTAGACGCCTCGGGAAGCAAACGAGAAAGCGCATCTGCTTGGACGTTTGACTTACCCGACGTGTATTCCAGTCGGCATGAGGGAAAACCAGAGACGCACAGGGCCCACCGCTGGAGTTTAGTGTTGCGCAGTGCCTTAGCTTCCAACAGATACTTAAGTGGTTTGTGATCGCTAAGGATTACAAAATCAGCACCGACGAGGTAGTGTCGAAACTTCCCTAATGCGTAAACCAGCGCATAACATTCACGTTCTATCGTAGGCCAGCGTTGTTCTGTCTCAGTCAACTGTTTGCTGAGATAAAACACTGGGTGCTCTCGCTCCCGCTCATCCATTTGCGTGAGAACTGCTCCGACGACGTAGCCGGAAGCGTCGCAATAAAGGCGGTACGGTCGACTTCCATCAGGTAATGCCAAAATGGGAGCCTCAGTGAGACACTTACGAAGAGACTGAAACGCAGTCTGTGCCTCGTCTGACCACACAAAGGGTTTGTTCTTGTGGGTGAGAATTGTTAATGGGTGGGCAATATCGGCATAGCCCTTAATAAACATACGATAGTAGTTAGTAAAACCCAAGAATTGACAAACAGCTGTTGGCATGGTTGGCGGGGCCCAATTTTGCACCACAGAGATCTTTTCTGGGTCAGGTCACATGCAACCGGGGTTATCACGTGACCCAGGTAGTTAATGGATTGACGCAAAAACGTACACTTACTGGGTCGCATCTTGAGGTTAGCCGTGTCAAATATGGCAAAAACCGGACTAAGTCGGACATGTGGGTGTCGAAATCCGGGGAAGAAATGCACACATCGTCAATATAAGCTAGCGCACATTTGTGACGGAGCCCTTGCAGGACGTAGTCGAGGACACGCTGAAAGTGGGAGGGCGCGTTTTTCGGTCCATAAGGTGTCCTTAAATCATCATAACTCCAAGAGGGCATTACAAAGCAGCTCTTCGGAACGTCTTTTTCTGCTAATGGGATTTGATGGTAGCCACTTTTGAGGTCGAGGGTGGTAAATATTGTGGCTTTTCCTACAGTTTGTAAGACATCCTCAATGACTGGCAAGAGGTAGGTGTCCCCTACAGTAACTGAGTTTAGTCGTTGATAGTCGACACACATTCGATACTCGCCAGTTTTTTTCTTAACCAAAAGTACGCCAGACGACCAAGGTTACATGGAGGGGCGAATTATCCCATTCTCTAACAGTTTGTGAACCTGTTGCTGAACAATGATTTGCTGCTCCGGGGACATACGGTAGGGTCGTGTTTTGAATGGTTTAGCATCCCCGGTATAAATTTGAAATTTGCAGAGGTGCGTACACCCTAATTGAGCGTCTGTATACGCAAATGAACTGTCATGATGGCGTAAAAATTTCAGATGGGAGTTGCTCGTTGGCGAGAGTCCTTAACGTGGTCTACGAGTGTATTATAATCAAAGGGCGGGGTTGCATTATCGTGTGGTGACACACTGAGCTGGTTAGGCGCAGACGTAATAACTCGTATGTGGGAAGGGGCGGGGGCTTCAACTATGGCCACAACGGCATTATGTGGTAACGATATAGCGCGATCTGAGCTATTTTCTAGCTAGCAGAAAATTGTGTGCTGCGCTGTGACCTCAACTAGAAACGGTAATAAGATTAAGTGGGGATTACTACAAAACATTCTAAAGGCAGGCGATCTTTGAACGAAGAGGAGCGTACCCTGGCGGAAATGGCAGGGGACGCGACAGAAACACTGTTGGCCTGAATGGGGGGGGGGTAACACGATCGAACGGTCAATGAAAGCGAGTTGAGGGATGGGGAGGTATCGCTTACCTTGACAAAGTTTTAAGGTGACCGCACTATTACCTAGTGCGAGCACTCCACGGGCTAAATCGATATTTACCCGGTTAGCCGCTAGAAAGTCGGCTCCTATTATGAACTGCTGCTTTAGATCACGAACTATGTACACTTATGGAGCGCGGTTACTCGTCCCAGTAGAATACGCAAATTAGCATTGCCTATAAGCTGTAGTTTATTGCCTGTGACAGAAAGTATCATGGCATTCGATGCACATACGGCATTGAAAGCTGCTGTCGCCCGTATATGTGGGGGTAATTGGAGCCATGCGGTTTGGTCAATAAGCGTGCAGTCACTACCGGTGTCAACTAAAGCCGTAAGTAAAAGTGAGCCGATTTTAACACTGCACATTGGCGCAGGGGATGTAGCGGTAGTCGGTAATCCACGCACGACAGATGTGTGCGTGCTTAGAAGTTGCGAGGGTACGGCGGGGCGATTGCGTCGCGGGGGTTCTGTTGAAAATCCTCTAAACGGTTACGGAGGGGGCACGCGCGTAGTGACCTAGTTGGCCGCATGCATAACAACGATTATTGTGTTGAATGTGGGTAGTCGCGGCAGCTGGAGTTTGAAACGCGTCGTGCTGCCGCGAAACAGCTGGCAAATAAGCCTCATTACGAACAGGTGGACGCCGGTTGCGTCCTGTGGTCGAGGGTTGCCATGAGCGCAATCGTAGCGGGCCATCATGGAGTGCGAGCACTTGTGAACGTTGTAGGCGCGGGGGTTGTCGTGTTATGTCTCGAGATGACTGATTCGTCGAGGACAACGGGACTCGTGGCGCGGACTGTGTAATTAATGTATGCAAACTGCGCACCTCTCTAATGAGATCGGATGGCGAGGGCCTTGTATTGAAGTGACGTCCATAGGTTCGGTCATGTCATAGGGGTCAGTAAACACGTCAGTACGGTTCTGTCCTCGTGCCACCAGGGATGACTCGAGTACGTGTTCGTCAGCCGCAAGGTCGATAGCGTCGGTTAGCGTAACAGGGTTACAATAAGCAACAGTTTCTGTGTGTGGACTAATTGAAGTCCATCTAGAGAAATGTCAACGAGGCGGCCCTGCGTCTCAGCCGTCGAAATTCGATCAGCCGGTATCGCTCGCAATGCGAGAGTGAACAATTTGTCGCCATACGGGCGAATATGTTTGCCGCGATGCTGCTGGAAAATTTTAAGCTCATTCTGACCGTCTACTTCGCGCAGCGGATCGCGGAAACGTTTCATTAATTGCTCAGTAAGTTGTTCCCAAGTCATAGCAGGCCGCTCGATAAGGAGGCGGTGGCAAAATTCGGCGGCATGACCTCCGAGCGTAGATAGGCCAAATACGCGCAACGACGTAGTGTCGAGATCCAATTCCAACTGTCTCCAATTTAAACTGCTGAGCCAGTCATCGAAAGTAATCGATAATGGTTCATTATCGCCAGTGTAACGCGGAACTGAAGTCTGAGCTTCCGCGACACGTAGCCCGTGTTGAAACGAGGCAGCGGCAGATTCAACTGTTGGGCGCAATAACTTGCTAAATAAATGCGCGATATCCGCGATGTCATACTGAGCTGACTGAGGCGGCTCCATGAGAGAAAGGGGTTGAACGACGGACGCTGTTAGGGAATAGGGGTAGATTACTCGAGCAACAATGATATCAATTATTAGACCGGTAAGCCATCTTGATATGTGCGGAGGCGTGCGATCAACTAATGCACGTAGCGTGGAGACCGTAGCATTCGCACACGACGCGCATAAGTCAGGAAACGACGACAGTAATAAATTACAAGAACTAACATGGCAGTAAGTAACCTAACCATAATGGCTCTTAGATCTAAACCGGCAAAGGTTAGTTTTACTTACCCAGCCGACTATACGGTGCTGCAATAGGATCGTCGGTCACGAGTGATAGACAAAAGTTAGTGACGGCACAGTAATCGTATAGGAAGCACCATGGGAGTGGCCACGCAACCAGGAACTTGAGCGACACTCACAGCACCAAATATGTAACGCCGTTATATGCGTTATTGTTTGTGAAGGTTTACTAAGTCAAAGCCATAGACAAGAGAAAGCCAGATGTTATACCATGATTAGACGTTTAATGCAGATTTAGTCGGTTACAACTGTTGTCGCGGCCGTGACCGTTTGTGCCTGGTTGTGAAGCAGATCTCCTCGATGCTTCCTGGCTCCCGGATTTTATACCCACAGGCACGACCTCGACCCACGCATGCGCCGTACGACGTACACACTACCGTGACATTTGCAGTGGAGATTATTGTGTTATAGCTCGGTGCCTCAGATGCGGACAGTCCAGTTAATTCTATTACAGAGTTAATTTTATTACAGAGAAACACGGATACTCTTGTTAGTTCTATTACAGATAAACACGGACACTCTAGCTAATTCTATTACAGAGTCCCTCCGTGGATCCGCTCAAGTCAAAGGTGCCGGCTAATAACCTTTCGACGCCCATCTCGCACGACCCCCGTTGGGAGTCGTGGCACATACACGCCGACTCAATAGCCTCCACTGTGTCAGGATGCCGACTCAATAGAGCCAGAATGCCGACACAGCGCTCCCACGGCGCATTTGCACAACTTCCAACAGAGTCGTAGCGCTGGTGGGACGAGATAGCGGCTCTTGTGACTGTAACTCAAATACAGAATGCCGACTCAATAAAGCCAGAAACTGCAACTCAATTACAGAATGCCGACTCAATAAAGCCGGAATGTCGACATAGCACTCCCACGGCGCATTTGCGCGACTTATTGCAGTCGTTGCGCCGGTGGGATATAGTTATACACAGCTATAGCGTAGATATACATAGATACACATACAGATATACATAGATATAGATATAACTCTGTTACACATAAACTAAACAAACAAGCTCTCTGTCCATCTGTACTATCTCTACCATCTACTACACACCCATAAGAAACGTAGGAACACGTCTGCACTTATATAAATAGTGGCATGCTTGTGATCTCCTGTGGTGTCCTTCCACAGTGACTATCTAGAACAGGAATTACAACAAGTTTCCTGATATTATATCGGAGCTTTGTTAAAATTTAGGTTGTAGTAGGTAAATTTAGGTTGGATGTGTCTATGGCAATGACCTAAGTGTCGGTACAACGTTTCCTGCCCTTAATACGCATGGACGGCCCAAGTCCCTTTTTCTGTACAACTAACAACTTTCAGTTTCAAAGAGGTGGCAGTTGTTTATTATGATGCAGTAACCATTGCATTAGCAATTAGACAAAGTAATTCAATTGACCTGCATCTTCGGCAGTTATAGAGATTAAATCAGCTAGCAAGATGCTGGATTGTAATGCGTTGAATATCTATTAAAATCAAGGTAATTGACATATAACTACATTGCGCTGCCAATAATCGCATGGTAATGGTGCCAAATACCCTTATAACAAGGTGAAGGACATCACCCTCTTCCATCTAACCCACCGCTCTCTCTCTCTCTCTCTCTCTCTCTCTCCCATAAGGCAAGGTGACGCTAGCTGTCAACATCATGCAGGCGACGGGCGACTTTCAGGTGACGGAAGGCGAGACGCTCGTCGCCAGGGGGCGCATCACGGCGCACGCGAGTCTCGACATACCCGAGCCGCTGAAGCTGAAAGGTCATGGCGAGCCGCTGCCGCTATGTGCCGATGACGTGTACAAGGAGCTGCGCATGTGCGGCTACGACTACAGCGGCGAGTTCCAGGCAATCGTCGCGGCGTCTCTCGATCGTACGTGCCGACGTGCTTTGCTTTATGGGTTCACGCAGCCATGGGGCGGGCCGTTACAATGTAGGAGGGTGGGCGTCCGGGAACGAAATATGATGGCTTCAGACGCACGTATAACTAAGTATAGTAACTTCTAATAAAGTACAACTAAGTATGAAACAAACATATGATGAAGCTAAGTAATTGAACCCCACATGTTTATGTATCATACTTGCTGCACGGTGGACTTGTTTTTCTTCAGTTTCAGATGCGAAGGTCGCATGGACGGGTAACTGGGTGCAATTTGTTGACAACATGATGCAGCAGATAGTGAGGAGCATGTACACACGCACGTTCCGTCTGCCCACCCGCATCCGACACATCAAGATCAATCCGATGCTGCAACGACAACGGCTGCAGAGCAGCGGCAAAACAACAGGTGGCCGCACTGTGCGGTGTTGTTAGTGCGGGGGCGTGCATGCTTAATAAGGATTCAGTGTGACACTGACGTGCTGACAGGCATTCTCAGTCTGGCATTTCATGGTGCTGCGAGTGCAGGTCAATTCCAGCATAACCTGTGTGCAGAAACAATTGATCCGTGTGTAGCGCTGTCAGGTATATCATCATGCATTGACCATTGTGTGTCAAAAATAGCGCACGCTCGTTCAATCACAGCTGCGCGGGGGTCTAGATAAAACTGATCGAGCACCTAAATGTGAGGCTCAGTCCTTTTAGACATGCACTCTATTGAAACTGACTCTTGCTCTCTTTACTGAACGCTTTCCCTCATCTTACTATTACTGGGACACTTGGAAAAGGCGCGTCTGAAGCATTAATTGTGGATGCAATAGCAGAAATTATGCATTTCGCATCGTTTGAAATTAGTACGAAAATGTGAATACATGACTTTTACTCATTTTAATTTCTCGGTTTTGTGTTTAGTGTTACACTCGCACGTCAATCACGTGCTCAACAAGTGCACAGCAGGTGGCGTTGAGATCACGGACCTGCACACGAGCCTCGCACCGCGGCGCCACCGTCACGATTCGCCGACGCTGGAGCGGCACGTCTTTGTGCCGTACGTTAAAGAGTTGAGAGACGCAGCGCTGGACGGATATGTGAGCGCTTGCGAGGAGGTGTGTGGCCGCATCGCCCGCGCTCTTGCCTCCACCGGTGGCGCCACCGTCCCCAACCCTTGCCTCCTCGCCAAGATCCGTGAACGTACGCAGAACCAGTCGGACGCGGTCGACTCCGGATTCCGTGACCCCGAGGTCGCCTATGATGTCGGTACACCGTCGATGGCGGGCGCCTTTCCCTCCGCCGCCTCCTCCTCCCCTGCCCCTATCTTCAGCTTTCTCACCAATACTTGCAAGCGTATGCGGTCGGACGTGGAAAACTCCTTGGAGATGGTCAAGGTCGCAGCCCCGCCGGCAGAATCCTACCCTGCATTGTCACGCGCCGCTCTCCACTTGCTGAACAAGATGGCGGAGATTGTCGCTGCGGGGTCAGACGGGGTCGTTGACGCGCTGTGTGCGGCGGCGGGTGAGGCAGAGGGCGCGGACGCCCTCCACCAGGTGGCGTTCTCTGGGCGCAGCCTGAAAGTGTGCGTCGACGTCGCACTCGAGAACCTGCACACGGGGCTGTCGCGGGTCAAGGTCGTGGAGGTCGAGCCAGGCGAGCAGCGCCACCTATCGGCGGAGGTCGCGGCGATGATGTGCACGCAGCCGACGGTAGATGTGGAGCGGGTCGTCTGCCGTGCGCGACCGACCGTCACCGACGACGACGACGACACGGTAGCGTGGGACGTCGCCGCGGGCCCGCCGCCCGCCGCCGCTGCTGGCGCCTCCCTCCTCGTACTTGATAACGTGTTGCACCGGAGCAGCAACCCGCGCGCGACCCTCGAGGGGGCGCTAGTGTGCGTCGGTGAGCACGGCTTCCTGCTCGTTGCCGAGCGGGCGCCGGACTTCCTGCCGGGAATACTCCTCGATGCGCTGACGTCACGGGAGGTGACGCTGCTCGCGGCTGACGCATGGAGGGACTTGTTTGTAGAGGCTGGGCTGGAGGTGGTTGCTGTGAGGTCGCATGCGCGCATAGGAGCTCTGTTCCTGCTGAGGAGGCGGAGGAGGAGGAGGTCGGGGAAGGGAGAGGAGCCCCGTGTGGTGAGCGTGGATGCACAGGACTTCAGCTGGGTGGACACGCTGAAGGAGGAGATGAAGGTCAGTGTCTCTATTCTCACGATGGGGAGCGTCGTATCATGTGATGATGAGTCATTTTATTTGGCACAAGAATTTACGGTGTTATCATGAAATTGTGTTAATTTTAGTCTAGCATCTAGGGATTGTTAGGCAAGTAAAAGAAAATTGTGTAATTATTAAACAAAATTGAAAGGTCCTAAATCAACCTACATGTGCGTTGTTTTGTGGCAGGTTGGAGAATCAGGCTCCCGTATCTGCCTAACAGCTAACGACCGTGCAAGTGGCATTGTAGGAATGGTCAACTGTTTACAAAGGGAGCCAGGTGGTGACAGAATTAGGTGCAACTTTATATGTAGGGCCTATTGTTTAATGATTATCAACTCCTGTGTCTGTTACTACTGCATAGGTCAAGAGTTAAGCTAACAAATATTTCTTCCTAACACTATTAACACCAACACCAAGAATAATTACATGCATGCACGCATGCATTCATATTATAATAAATTACTAATAACATTATTAATCTAAGTAAATGTTTAGCTTACCATCTGCATGTACTCGCCATCCAAATACAATCTGCTTGTCTGCATAGGTGCGTGTTAGATGAGGAAGGGATGATGGAGGTTGGAGGCAAGAGGTGGGAGGAGATGTGCAGGAGAGACTTGGTCATGAATGTATACAGAGAGGGACTGTGGGGTTCATTCCGTCACCTGCCCTTCAACCAAGGTATGACCCGGCTATCACAGGCAGATCTCTTAAATTGACTACGTCACGAATTTTCCATGGTAAAATTTGTAAAAAAAAAATTTGTAATTAAAAGTAAGAACTAACGATACTAAATATATCCTCAAACTCTCACCTGATAAAAATGTTTTTACGTTGGTTAAATTTGCAAAAGTCTAGAGGATTTGGTAATTTCTGTTGTCTAACACTATTCCCCCAGTACTGTTCAGATACTGGCGTCTCTCTGTTTTTCACCGGAAAATTAGGGCATATAAAGAAGGTATATAAGCATGAAAAGTAAACAGAAACACTAATTGTATTTTCATACATTGCAAATTCATACATTGCAATTTTATTTTGTACAAATAACACACAAATATACTACTTCATGGTGCTAGAAATTCGTGACGTAATCACTTTAAACGTGCGACCATTAACTGCTGTAATATACTAGTGAGGGTCATCAAGATTCACATTTATATTTAACTTCTATATCGCTTTTATACGGTGACGTGAAGATGAAGTAATGATATGAGCAGATCATGCTGTGTTCACCCGTATGTGTGTAAATACTGTATAAATACCGTTCCAACACACATGTTCGCAGATGAGGATGGAACCAAGATGGCCGAGCACGCGTACGTGAACGTGGCGACCCGTGGCGACCTCTCCAGCCTGCGCTGGTTTGAGTCTCCACTCAAGCACTGGGCGTCGATGACTGACGACAAGCACAAGGAGCTGTGCTCTGTCAGCTACGCCTCGCTCAACTTCAGAGATGTGATGCTGGCAACCGGCAAGCTGCCACCGGATGCCATTCCAGGTACGTCATCGATACTTCACAGGTTAATTACATATGTGTGGTACTAGTGGGGATTAAAATTATTGAGCAAGAGTTTAGAAGAAGAGGGAGGGGAAGACGGCAGATTAGGAGGAGGAGGAGGAGGAGGAGGAGGAGGAGGAGGACGAGGGGGAGGAGGAGGAGGAGGAGGAAGAGGAGGAGGATGTACGGTTGGGGTTTTGTCAGATGCATCCAGATATTCACCGGAAGTCAATGACACCATTATTGTCCTTTCTGCTTCTATATTCCTTAGCCTCCTTCGTTCTCTGACACAGTGATTAAACTCTCAGTGTCGTGATCGTCAGATGTCGCTACTGTTGTTATAGGTAACATGGCGCTGCATGACTGTATCCTCGGCATGGAGTTCTCCGGTCACAGCAGCGATGGAAGGAGGATCATGGGATTGCTGCCAGCTAAAGGTCTGGCGACGACCGTCGACGCTGATATCAAATTCACGTGGCCTGTGCCTGAGTCGTGGACGCTGAGAGAAGGCGCTACCGTGCCTGTGGTTTACGCGACAGCCTACTATGCTCTTATAGTAAGGGGCAAGCTGAGAAAAGGAGAACGGTATGCATCCTGATGGGATAATAGGTGTGGAAGTGCAGGAAATTCATTTCTCAACTCTTTTCACGGAGAAATAGGAATGGGTGGTTGATTACCTAGAAATATAAAGATGGGTGATGACCAAGTTGTTTAAAGGTGACTGATCACTAAAGTTACATATAGATGACTGATTATCAACGAGTTATTCACAGATTGCTAATCAGCAGGGATTTATAAGATGGTAGCTCACTGGAGATGTTTAAGATGAGTGCTGTGCTAATTCTACCCTGCTATCACAGGGTGCTGATACACTCTGGCAGTGGGGGTGTGGGGCAGGCGGCCATCTCGGTGGCGCTGCACCATGGATGCGAGGTGTTTACAACCGTCGGCTCGCATCAGAAGAGAAACTATCTGAAGCACAAGTTCCCACAGCTGCAGGACAAACACTTCAGCAATTCACGCGATGCTAGCTTCGAGCAGGAGATCCTGATCGCCACCAAGGGAAAGGGTAACAGCAGTCACTCACACCTATTATTATAGCGTAGACACCGTCAGTACTGTTCTACATGATGTGGGGGAGTAGGGATGGATTAGGGTTGCTGGGGAAATTCTTCATCTTTACAAGACATATGTTCTACCTGTACCACGTTATGCTGCCATATTTGAAAAAATCCCGTCGGTAGTAAAACTTATTGACATGGTTGCGTTTATACGTTACATGTCGACTCATCATGAACATAATTATATACGCTACAGATAGCTATAGATATGTTATGTATAGATACTAGAGTAGTATCGGTACCTCGCCGTAGCAGATGGATAACTGTCAAGTATAAATACACAAAGCTATATAACAAGTACACTTACAAAATATTACATTGTAGTTTTATCACAACAATAGTGATGCAGATACGCAAACGATTGCGTTTGCTGCCAATACACCAATAGCACAGATATATGGAAAGCTTTTATTATATTTAAGTACATGGCGATTGTGATATAAGCAAAGCAAATGAGATAAGATCATGCCACACCACCCGGCGTTTCTGTTGGTAGTTATCTAGACTATGTCTGGCTATATTTTATTTAGGTACATGGAGTTTGTGATGTATGCATTGCACAAACGAATAAATGTAACAAATAATAAACTATGAATAATTTATAATCAATACCTAAATAAACTCAATAACTAAAACAAATTTAAACAGATAAAATCACCGACGCCATCCGTGTCTCTTGCAGGTGTTAACGTCGTGCTCAACTCGCTGGCAGATGACAAGCTACAGGCGAGCGTGCGTCTCCTCGCGCAACATGGCCGCTTCCTTGAGATCGGCAAGTACGACATGTCGAGCAACACGCCGCTAGGCATGGCAGTCTTTCTACGTAACATCGCCTTTCACGGCATCCTCCTAGACGCCCTCTTCGATCCCGACAATGACGACTGGATGCGCGTGCGCCACCTGGTGGCCGAGGGCATCGCGAGCGGAGCAGTGCGCCCCCTGACGGCAACGGTGTTCGCGCGCGACAACGTGGAGGAGGCATTCCGCTTCATGGCACAAGGCAAGCACATCGGCAAGGTGCTTGTACAGGTAAGAGCTAGACGTGCGTGTGTGCGTGCGTGCGTGTGTGAATGCTAGACATACAAACGTGTGTGCGTGCCTGTGTGCGTGCGTGAGTGCTAGACATACAAACGTGTGTGCGTGCGTGAGTGCTAGACATACAA